TTTGAGGTTGCTGTGAGCTAGGCTGACGCCACGGCACTCACTCTAGCCCGGGCAAAACAGTGAGACTCTGTCACAAAAAAAAAAAAATTGTGTGCTTGCCTTTATTACTTTGCAGGAGTTTAAAGGCTCAATAAATATTTTTTTTAAATTTAGCTTTCTTTTATTTTCCACCTGGTTTTATTTTTAAACTTACAGTTCAGGTTTATTCTATTGTGCTAAACTATTAAATGCTAGTATACCCCATCTTTGAAGAAAAGAGCACTAAAATTTGAAATTTTTTACAAGGGTTAGGTCAATGTCACTCCATAAAAGAGTTTAGGCTTCTTTGGAAAGATACTTGCAGAGGACATAAAACAGGAGACCTATTTGCTTATTCCTTGGGGATTCCAGATTTAAAGGCTGGTGACTGTATGTGTAGAATTAGCTGAATCTTTAAATAGAAGTCCTAAGAACCCAACCAGTAAAAAAAAATCTGCTTTCATGAACATACAATGATTCAACCTGCAGAAAATTATATCAAGTGAACAGAAATGAGGTTGCCACTAGGATTTCAGTGTTCATTTGGCATTTATTCATCTACATTTGATAAATAAAATAGAGTTACTTGTAAAGAGCTAATTAAATTGAGATTCATTTGATAGATTTTGAAAGCAATGTTATCATCTTATTTTTTCCTACCTGGACCACCAAGGGCTTCGCTCTCCTTATTTTCTGCCTCAATTTCTTTCAGTACTTCAGTTAGAGCCTCCCACTTTGGGTTGCTTTCTAGGACCAGTTCTTTTCTCATTTCTGTATAGAAGTAAAAGATAACCTCATTCTATGTGATAATATTTACCCATAAAGTATTCCAAAGGCTTTTAAAACAATAGATAACACAAGCATCATAAGTCCATTTCTTTAAGCTTTCTTTATAATGCTATATGAAATCTGCTTTCCTGAAAAATGTCTACTTAAGGTCTAAATGAAAGGAACTTCAAACCATTAATATAGGTTTCATGGGTAGAAAGTAACATGCATGGTCACTAATGAGAGCTGATTCTGTGTTGTCTGTTGTGACACTATATATAAGCTGATACACAAAGTAAAGGAATCAGCACAGAATGACATTATTTATTATTTCTAAAATCCCCATGATTTTCATAATCCTGAGCATGGATAAAAGTAGACAACAAATTTTTTTTCTATAAATATTCAAACGCATCATTAGTATGTTCAATTAAATTTTGAAACAGACCTTTAAACTAGGCAGAAAGTAAACATTAACCCTATTCCATGCCTTAAAAAACTGGTGATATTTATGATACGTACTAGATAATGTTGGAATAAAACCTGTATTTGTCTCATTCTAGTATATTTATGTTTTTTAAAAATTAAAAGGAACCTTAAAATGTTCCACGCTGACTTTAGGGGCCAAAAATAGTAATTATTTTGAAGTTAAAAAATCA